CCATACAGGGTGTCCCAGAAGTAACCTGACAAACTTGAGGAGAAGGTAGATGGGGGTGAGCTCCCTGATAAACAAAAAATTTTCAGGTAAAAGTGTCACCGTTTATAAAATATTTAAATTTTTGGAATTAATAAAAAATAGTGCATATTCATGTATTTTCTTTAACTGCATCTACAAACAATTTTTTATGTAAAATACTTCCAGATAGTTGCTTCTCCATACTCAAATGCAATGTAGTTAAAATATATTAAGGAACCATCATAAAATTAGGACTACTTTGTGATTTTTAAGTTTTTGATATTTTCCTCCCCAACTTTGACTATCTCTGGTGAAAAAAAAATGTACTCAGCTATAACTTTGCATTACATAAAAAATTGTTTATTTAACAAAGATTTCAGAAAGGTGCCACTTTTACTGTTTCGAATAGAAAAATAAGTTATAGCCGCTTTTGCGGGCAAAGGACTGAGACACGCTATAATGTATTTAATAGATTTAAATTTAAGTTGCTCTTGTTACCGACCAATGACATGCTAAATAGTACAAAGGTACATTATTTATTACCTGTTCCTGACATTATTCGAACATTGTGTTACTAATACTATGACAGAGAACACGCAGATACGTCGCATGAATATGCGGATATTCACCTATTCACGGTGAAGATTGCTGTAATGCCAGAGCTGCTCAAAGACTCTATACCCCAATCGTCGGCATCCGGGTCGTGAAGTATTCGCCCGGACCCATACAGAAATATATAAAGGTAACTGATTTTTACACCCTTCTTGTTTGCCTGCTTGTTAACTATCATTTTTCACTTTTTTAAGGTCGCATACCTGGAAGGCGTGGCGGCGAAACAGGATGTCCTGCAACGGTAGATGTTGAAGTTGTGTTACAGGAAGTGGAACTAGGTCCATCGACTTCAGTAAGAATGATGTAAAGACGGACGGGAATACAAAAAACTACAGTTCACAAAGCTTTAAAAGACCATCGATTTCATCCCTACGACATTCAACGTTTTCAGGCTCTACAAGAAAGAGATTACCTGCCGAGGGTTAGATTTTACCGTGAAATGTTGCGAATGCATGAATCAGACTCCAACTTTTTTAATAAAATAATTTGGAGCGATAAATCATCATGCACACGTGATGGGTATTTTAATTTACTTAACCTTCACAGTTGGCAGATAGACAATCCTCACGAAATGAGAGAAGATCGTTCGCAGTACCGGTACAAAATAAATTTATGGTGCGGTATTTTTAATTGTCAGATATTGGGACCTGTGGAACTGCCACCAACGCTCAACTCTCACAGTTATTTAGAGTTCCTTCAGGAACGGCTTCCAACTCTTTTAGAAGATGTACCCTTAAACCTGCGGCGAAGACTATGGCTGCAAAATGACGGGTGCCCTGCTCACTACGGGCGTGAAGTAAGAGCTCATTTAGACGAAACTTATCCTCGCCGATGGATTGGACGAGGCTGGGGCTGTCTTAAGGATAAAAATTTATTCAAAAACAATTCAAAACGAAGAGCATTGGCGGGAACAAATAAATGGAGCTGCTGCTGAGATAGCCCAATTGAGTTTAAGATCTCTAAAAGCGTCTTTTCATAAAAGGTGCCGAGCTTGTATTAGAGTAGAAGGTCGCCAATTTGAGCATATTTTATCAATAAATTAATAAATTTTTCTTCAAACAACTCATGTATATTTTATTTCACATGAACCCATCCTTCACAAAAAATATTGATAGATATAGCCCTTGTTATAGACTCTAGTCCGAATTCCGGTAAGTAATCTATATATTAGGGATGTGCCGGATAGAGATTTTGCCGGATAACCGGATTCCGGATATCCTGTAAAAAATAAGAGCCGGATTCGGATACCCGATCGTATATCCGGTAGACTCTTGCCCTTAATAAATTTCATAATGTTATAATAGGTTTTTTGTTTAGCTAGAATTTCTTCTCTTTCGAGTTGAACTATCCAATACGTAATTAAGAATACAAAATGTCCACTCTGGAATCCAAGTTATGATATAATCCTGCATTAAATAGATAACTCCTCCGTCTGCAACCCGGATTTATCGACTATTTTTGGTAAATAAAGGAGAAAAGTCAAAGACAAAAGATAAACAGCAATGAACGCCGCTAAGAAAAAAGCGTATTTAACTTATTTTTTTAAATGTGATGAAAATCGAACTAATATGCATGGTTCCATATCGTTTCGCTTCCCGAATCGCCACGTAAGGCTTCATTGTTGCAATATTTTGTGACACACGTTTCAAAACTCGTTTTATTTTCTGCCATCAGTAAATCTAAAAACTGGGTGGATGGTGAACTAAATAACTCGAAAATAGAAATCAGTTAGCTTGGAGAAACCTGCCGAATCATATGAAAAACGCCGAACTCTACTGAAACCTTCTATTGAAGAGCGAGACCAGGATATGCTTTGAGGAAATCGCCAACGGCTCTGATACTGATTCCAGTTTTTGTACTGATCCTTTAATTGGGTGGAATCATAGACGGCCGCTGTGGTGTAGCGGTTCAACCCAACATAAAAAACCCAAAAAAAAAAATTTTTTTGTAATAGCGGTCGCCCCTCGGCAGGCAATGACAAACCTCCGAGTGTATTGCTGCCATGAAAAACAGCTTCTCATAAAAATACAATCGCCGTTCGGAGTCGGCGTAAAATTGTAGGTCCCTCCCCTTATTGGACAACATCAATGCGCACGCCACAGATCGGAGGAGAAGCCCGGCTAATCACTAACAAATGTGTAAGCACCAATTCTATTATTATTATAGTCGCAAAGAATTTCCAAAAATTTTTTTACATTGGCAATGAATTATCTCTGTGAACCACCTTCCTCGGTGAACTCAAAAATAGTGTTTAGTGCAGAGGTGGGCAGCTTCGACAGAGAATTTTTGTAGCGAACAAGTCGTGCGGCTGAATGAAGATTTCGCTGCCTTCTAAAGCAGAGCGTGTATGTATACGCGAATATGCCCGCCGGGCAGGCGCCGCCCAGGTCTGGTTTAGTGCATCGGGTGGCATTTATGTTGAAAATTGAAATGCGTTCTTGAGCGGTAATAAAAAATATATAAATTTTTAACTCTTAATTACTAATTAGATACTATTAAATTTGATTACGAAAATGTAACAAAAATACCTGAACTATCCCAGCAAAAAACACGATTACAACAGAAACGAAAGTGGAAACGAGCTAGGCGATGGGAATCGCTTACCCTTTCGCTTCAAGAAGGCCTTATTTTAACATGGGCATGTCATTGGAGGTAAGCCCTTACCCGCAGCATTACCTTCAAACGAAGGGAGAACGCATGGATAAACAGAATCCAGAGAAGCGAACAAAGAATGCCTTACAGAGAAACTAATGTAGAATGCCTAGATAAGTACATACTTATTTATATTAAATTGAAATCAGAAAATGTCTTAAAAGATTAAAATTAATTAAAATTTTTATAAATCAGCTTTTATACATACATA